CCAGGCGAGGAGCGACTGGTCGAACGGTTAGCGCTCTAGCCTTTCATGCGGGAGACCCGGGTTTAAATCCTCGGTTAGGATGGGGATTTTTTCTGTCGATGGCAAAATAAAATCCTCACCTGCACAGTTGCGGCGACAGCACTAGCCATACGGCCATATGGCACGTAGATCCAGTTTAGGCTTGGTTTATTTTTATCGAGGTTGTCTCCTCTAGATCCCTTGTGTTTTGTCCCAGAATCTCAAGGTCTTGGTTAACGGGGTCAACTCTAGAAGGATGTGCCTTTTCGGTCATACAAAACGGTCTTGACTGCAGAAAGGGTTACCAGGTCAGAGGACTTACCACCTGAGTGTGTCCTTTTCACCTATAAGGCTAGACCAGGAGACTCACAAGGGGGAACAGCTGGTGTGCTCCACTGCCCGAAAGTCTTAGCCACTACAGCCTTGAGTCTTCATGACCCTCGACCCCTTCAGCCACATGGATAACCTTTACTCTCTTTTTCATCTGCCACCTCTCGTCCCTATCTTCAGAAAAAAATCCACGCAGGATAGCCTCGCCTTTGTTTTCGTCCGAGTGTAAAACCATCCCGTTGTCCATCTTTCGCTCACGCAAAACAGAGATGTGCCTCCCTCCCCCGTTCATCTTGTGGTGGACCCGCCCTAAGTTTCTGAGAGATGTTTCATAACCTATTTCAAGACGAAAAATGTTACCACATCGTGTGCTTAGACTCCTTTGCGAGTTATTTAAAGTGTTCATTGAGTCTGTCTTTTCTGTATATTATGTCTTTTTTTTTCCCGAGGATCAGAAACATTCGAAGACTTTCTGTTTCCCCCAGTCTTTGGGGACACTTCCTTTCTGCCCAGCCTAGGGAATATATAAATACTGGAGCGTGATCCCCTCTCTCCCTTTACTTTGATGTAGGAGTACCTGTTAATTATTATTAATTGTTGTCAGCACACTTCACAACCAACTTAAATTGCCGCCTGGTGTGATGGTTCTAATGCCTACGTCTCCATCCCTGGAAAGCATCAGTGACATAGTTTTCTCTGAACAGTCAATGCAATAATGTGAATATACTACAAATCGCAAACACGGATGGAAAATGCTTAAAGTGCTTACATTGTACTTACGTACACACATGCATACAACCAAACATAATTGCTTGCACACCCACACGAATTAAACAATCACACACACACACACACACAAATAAACATTGTTATGTATACATACGTACATGCACCCACATGTACCCTCATACATGCTGACACAATGACAGAGAGAGAGAGAGAGAGAGAGAGAGAGAGAGAGAGAGAGAGAGAGAGAGAGAGAGAGAGAGAGAGAGAGAGGGAGAAGAGGGGGATATGAGAAGAGACAGAGAGAGAGAGAGATGTGGAGAAAAAGAGAGTGGGGGGGGGGGGACATCGGGAGAGAGAGAGAAAGGGATAGCGAAGCAGAATAGGAGAGGGGCAAGGGGAGAGAATGTGGGGATGCGTGAGAGAAATAAGGATAAAGAGACTGGAAGAGAGAAAGGAACATGCTTGCCTTGTGTGTAAGAAAAATCTATAAGACGGTTAGACGTATCGATTAGTAAGGACCTCGGCCCACTGAGAGTCAAAGACGTGCATGTACGGAGACTCGCTGGAGTACATGTCATAAATAGTGAGAGGAAGTCTTAATATGAGAGCTGCTTAACCAGCGGTATCTCTTTATCTCGCGTGTGTTCCAAAGCCCACTCACGGGGAAGAGACTTGGGGTGTGGGTAAAAAAAAAAAAGGGGGGGGGACGATATAACCCCCCCCCCACCTCCTATAAAACATGTGGGTGCATGTACGTATGTATACATAACATTGTTTATGTGTGTGTGTGTGTGCGTGCGTGTGTGTGTGCGTGTGTGTGTGTGTGTGTGTGTGTGTGTGTGTGTGTGTGTGGGGGTTTAATTCATGTGAGTGTGCAAGCAACCACATGCATGAAAAAGTGACCTGCAGGAATCAGGACAGGAATGGGAATAAAGAAAACAAAAATCACCACTGATAAGCTGGCGAAGACACATACTAAATACATGTGATGGCAACATACGAAGCCCGGAAGTCCCATGCTCTAAGAGGCTTTTCTTGACCCAGATGGGTCTTGCTAGTCACACTCGTCATCGCCGTGGGCTGTGATTCCCATGCATCCCTGCCTTTCCTTTCCTCCTCAGTGGGCCGGCCAAACACTCTGGTCACACCCAGGTGCATCATTCTCTCCGGGTTCAGGCTCATGTGATGGCTGGGATTATTTCACATGGACTTTTCCCTGGTCTCTGGGTAGCGAGATCGGACGCATGTGCGTATTGTTTCGCACGCTAAAAAAATCCCTTGGCAGTTTGAAATCGAAAAGAGTAGCCTAATGGCACTGCCCGGCCTGAGCAACATTTAGAGTTAAAATCTACCTAACGTATTTCAGGATCCTCATCGGTGCTACAGAGTTCGTGCACTGCGCTGAGTTTCCTCTGACTCAGACTAGAAGTAGAACAGAGTACTTAAGGGCTACCCCTTGTGCCATGATGTTGATCTGTTGTTTAAACTTAGAACTTTAAAGTTATCATTCTCTCCAGGCCATAGTAATCCAAGTTCTCTTCAGAAATGTGTAAATATAACTATTTAATCCTGTGTGTCCAATAACTTGAACAAGAATTTCTTTTGGGTCTTTTTAGTGCATTATTTTTTATTTGCTCTTTAAATAGTAGTCTATTGTATAAAATTATGTTTAAATTTTATTTCTTCAGATTTTCCACTTTTTAGTTTTTTAGTCATAATAACAAATTATCAGTCAAACACATTTTGAAATTATAAAATAATTCAGTGTTTTTTTTTAAATTACAAAACGAAAAAAGTAACAGTATTAAATAATTCTGCACCCCCCCCCCCCCCCTTCCCCCACCCTCCTCCCCAATTTATAAAATGTATGCATGAAAAGCAGTAAAATCCACCTGTTTTTGGCATTATAGAAACACAAAGTAATGTATAATAAGCTAGACACTCACAAAACAGTATCATATTAGAAATATACCTGCAGATATTTAATGAAAAATCAACAGAAATAACAAATATCACTGAAGGCCAGAATAAAGTAATTACTTATGTTGCTCATCATAAATGTAAAAACAGGGTATTGTGTAAGTCAGTGTTGTGTCTACTGGAATAGCCAAACCAAAGTGAGTTTGGAAAGACCAGAAATCCACTTGAAAGATAAAATTTAAATTAGATGACAAGTGTGAATGGTAACTGAACAGAATACACAGCATACATAGCTGCAAGACTGACTGACTGACTGACTTTCTACCCCACTAGGACATCACACAAGCGATAAACACCCGATGACACAAAGTGCCACCATGCGGATGAGGATCGCCGTGGAGAGGTCCCAGAAACCGCGTTCAGACATTTGGCCATATGTATGGCCTGCCTATATTGCGGCCCCTGGCAAAAGCCAGAGTAGGGCTTCAAATAACAAAAAATTTCGTCCTGAAAAGGACGAAACTGGATATAACATAACTGCAAGACAGCAGGTGAAGTGTTTTGAACATGTGTGAAGACTTCCACCAAATAGTCCACCACAGGATAACTGTGGCACTTAGCAGAACCAGAGGTCGACACACAAGTTAGGATAGATTGACCATCTAAAGCGGTAAATACCACCATCTAATGGTACATACCAAGGCTCACATCTGATGCATCTACAAAACCTGATTCTGAAAGGTAGAACAGAACTGGAGAACAAGAAGAAGACACAACTTTCCTGATTCAAAGTAACCAAAGTAACCTCATAATTTATTTTGCTGTTGCAGACAATGGAATTCATTAAACATGTAGATTTGTCAAAATATCTTTGCATCAGTGGAAATATATAATTTGCTATGTTTAGTGGACAGAACATTTATGGATAAAATAATTTGTTGGGAAAGAACATGGTCTTTAAAATATTTAAAATCAAATAGATTGGAAGAAGGTGTTATCATATATTATTTGCCTTTATAGTCACAAATCTGAATTTGAAAAATCCCATCTGTTTTATTGAGTCAAAAACTTTTACTAACAGAAATTAAATGTTTTAACAGATTAACTTAACCATGCTAAGTGATAGCATGACTCTGGCGTTTCTAGTCTATGTGTAGTTTATTCACAGAGCTTTTTTAAAAAAAAAAACATCCATTATATACATAAAGCAGTCATGGTCAACAATTCAGATTTAGCTTTTTGCAATGGCTTCTGCTGGAATCTTGCCTTGACTTCAGATTTGTGAAAATGTGTCCATCCTGTTAATGATCCTAGACAGTTTCTTGCAAACAACCAAGGTAAAACTGGTGATTCATGCTAGGTTGTGCCACAAAACTTAACCATTTGCAGCTGTATGGATGTGAGAGCATAGACAGGACTACTGACTAGGACTCTGGGAAGTGCTGCAGTCAAATTCCTCAAATGTTTTTTTTTTAACTTATAAGTATTTATTTAGTAGCAATAGCTGATGAAACAGGAGCTACAGTCTTCTGTCTTGGCTTGGGTCCAGTTCCTTCATGGAAACCATTTCGAAGTTTGTAGTTCATTTTATTTTCTTTGATGTTACTGCTCAAACGATCCACTGAGTTGTATGATAACTGTCAGTAATTGCTCTTGTATCGGCTCTGTATCATATCTGATAATTTGAAACTGAAAGTAACCCAAACATTATTAGTTTAACACAATTGTCAGATTATCTTTGCAGCACAATGCATTGTCCTCCACATTACATATTTATGGAACTTTTGAGCTTGATAGCTTATCAGGAAATAGTGTACAGTTTGAACACAAAGTTTGTACATATGAGAATTGACTTAGTATCACAGTTGACTTACTGAAAACACACGATAATTGATTTAGGGAAAACAATTAAGAATTGATTTATTGAAATTAAAGCTCAAATCTTATGTGCATAAATGTTACATGTGTTTCCACTCTGATCTCTCTATTTTGTTGCCTACCAGGTGATGAGGTCTAGTATTTGGGTCTTGCTGGAAATGCTTTTGCTGGGAGCTGTTTTGCTGTATGCTACAGTGAGTTCCCCCAGCTTTTGTCATTTTTTTTTAATGTCTTTGGCCCAACATATACATAACAACAAACACATACATATTTATTACACGAGTATAAAGATACATATATATTTAGACACTCTCCAGGTATACAAGAAAATGAAAACAAGAAACTGATAGGTTTGCGGACAGGGCTACTTTAGAGGGCAGGCAAGCAGCAGACCAGACAGATATACTGAATACTGTACGAGAAGTTGTGTCGTTAAGCAAGGGACAACTGTGAACCTGCTACCAAGACCAGACTGGGAGAACACAGAAATCGGCAGGAAAAAAAAAAAAATAAACAATACAATACTAGAATCATCAACTGCTACACACTAAGGGTTACAATAAGAAAGAGATATGTGCATACAACTGGTTCTATGTGCAGTGTGGATAACTGGTTGACTACCTTAACTAACAGTAATTGCATACATTCAACAGTAATCGCACACTTTCAGCACTGAAATTTAACACGTTGAGCACTGTAATTGCATACATTAGATACTAGTCTATGTCACAGCAACCACACATTGTACCATGTCACAGTAACAGCAAAAAGTGTGCCATGTCACAATAACAACAAACACTGTACCATGTCACAGTAACCACACCTCTGCACCATGCCACAGTAACCAACCAAAAACACACACACACACACACACACATGTGCACACACACGCATACATACACATGCACACACGCACGCGCACACACACACACACTGTACTTATTCACAGTAACCAAATGCAGTGTACCATGTCACAGTGACAACACACACTGTACCTCCCATGTCACAATAACCAAGCACACAATAGCATATCACAGTAACCACACACAGCACCAACTATCACAGTAACCACAAACACTGTACCATACCATATCACAGTAACCACACACATACACACTTGCATGCACACTCTGTGCCATGTCACACTAACCAAACACTCACTGTACTTTGCCACAGTAACCACACACACTGTGCCTTGTCACAGTAACCACACACTATGTCATGTCACCACAGAAAGCACACACTGTATCGTGTTACAGTAGCCACACTGTACCATGTCACAAAAACCACACACATATTACTATACCACAGTAACCAGACACACTGTCTCATGTCACAGTAACCACATACACTGTACCTGTCAAACCATACATACTGTGCCATGTCACAGTAACCACACACACATACTGTACCTTGTCATAAAAAGCAAACACTATATCATATCACAGTAGCCACCCACACCACCCACCCACCCACACACACACACACACACACACACACATTCATGCACATGTGCGCGCGCGCGCGCACACACACACACACACACACACACACACACACACTATACTATACTATACTATACTATACTATACTATACTATACTATACTATACTATACTATACTATACTATACTATACTATACTATACTATACTATACTATACTATACTATGTCACCATAACCACACATGTTATGAAATACTTAGTACCAGAAATCACTTTCTTCATCATCATTTATTCCAGCCCATGGATTGGGACATGAACCTTTCAGGCAGTTAATTTCAGTTATCTGTACCATTGGATACATTATATTTGAAGAACGACTTAGCTGACAAGAAGAGAGAAAATTAAAAGTCGAGAAATTAAAAAAAAAAAAAAATAAGAGTTACTGTTCATTAAAAGGCAACTGATGAAATGGTTTGGTCATTTGATGAGCATGACCAGGTACTAAATCCACAGGGAGCCACAGTTAAAGAATACAATGGCCACAGGACAAGAGGACAACAGCGTCTTCTTTTTCTTCTTTGCGTTCACCAGCTGTAAACTCTGGCGGAAAGTTTTGGCTGTTTATCCAATTTTGGACTGCAATCCTGTTCCAGAACCTGAGTGTTGCATGTGCATCCATTTTACAGATCTGACTTATTTGTATGCAGACTGCTGGTTCCTTGCCGCTCAAGCAAGTGCACTCAGACTTTGAAGGAAGCTCCCAATTAGTCGACTCCTACGACATGCTTTTGGGTAGGCAGTGAGTCTGTTCTTTCCCCCCCTACAATAGGGCCCCAGAACCCACACTGGGAGATGACGCCATCAAGAACAACCTTAAAGATGGTAAGATCAACTTAACTCAGTGCATTAAAAAGAGTTCACAGAGGATTCGTACAATGCTGCCTAAACTTCAATGAGGTCACTGGAGGAAGAGAAGAAGAAGAAGAAGAAGAAGAAGAAGAAGAAGAAGAAGAAGAAGAAGAAGAAGAAGAAGAAGAAGAAGAAGAAGAAGAAAAAGAAGGAGAAGAAGAAGAAGAAGAAGAAGAAGAAGAAGAAGAAGAAGAAGAAGATAAAGAACTTGAGACCTGAGAAATACCAATATGGTTTCAGTCTTGATAGAGGAAGCGCTCAACTGAAGCTCCACATAGTATAGAATGGGGGAACAGTGACGTATCTTATATGTAACTCAAGACTGGGTATCCTGGAATAACTAAAACATTACATGAAAGCTGCGTACAAAACCTAGAGATCTAAAATATTAACTAACCCGGTTGCATTTGAAACAGTATGGATGTGGAAGTTAGGAAAACCACCCTAGCTCCCTGCATTGAAACATACGATTTGTCACTATTGAACACAAATATAATATAGAACTATTTGATCAAGACTGATTAAACACTTTTTTTTTTTTCTGCAGGTGGTTATACAGTATTTTGAGCCTAACACCACAACCTGTTTACTGTTGCCATGGTTCCGTGAAGTGGGCTTTGTGTTCGTCTATGGTGTACTAGTGCTGAAAATATATAGGTATTGATTACAGTGTGCTGCTCTTGTCTTTTGAAGTGAGGAGTCTATACAGGGCTTGTTCTAAATGGGGCTGATTCAGTGGTAGAGTGGTAGAATAACCTTCTACTACCACAGAAGTCCTGGGTTTTTCAGGGACCTTTATTTTTCAGATTAATAAAACCCAAGGGAAGGAAAGTGTGTTTATGTGTGCAGTATTGACAATTATGAAACATCTAAATCCATTGGCAAAAGACCACTATGCAATTTACATTTTGCAGACAACATTGATATCGTGGCTGATTCCAAAGCAGAACTCCAGGATCTTAGTACAAAATTAGAGGAGGTATTTGGTAAAAATTTAGAAATTTTGAATTTTGAATTTTCAAAATTAGAATTTTGAGAGCATGCATCTTCCCTGTGGCTACATATGGATGTGAGTCGTGGACTATCTCTTAGCAGGTGCTGTCCCCCCCCCCCCCCCCATAAATGCATGTACGCACCTGCTCATGCACATTAAAAAATTTGCTTGCACACACACACACAGACAAAAGAGGTATGGAGAAGCAAGAAGGAGAAATAGATACACAGAGAGAATAAAGAGAAACAGAGAGAGAGGAGAAAACTAAACATAGAGAAACACATACATTGAGAGAGAGAAACAGCTACACAGAAATAGAAACACACACAGAGAGAGAGGGAGGGAGTGAGTGAAAGAAATGATATACACAAGAAATAGGGACAGTCAGAGAGACACTGAGAGGGGTGATGGAGGGGAGGGGGATCACAATACAAAGATTATGAAAAAATAGGTATTAAACAAAACAGTGGAAAGCATACACATTATATCAAGATAGTAGTGTTATAAATGCACTCATCATCATCATTAGCCTTGCCGACTGGCGTGGGCGATCATGCCTCTCCATAATCTGTGATCTCCTGCAGCATGTATCAGATCGTGTGCCAACACCTCCATGCCATGCAACAAGACTCTCAAGCATCTTTTCTTGTTGTCTCCCTCTATCTCTCCTTCCACATATCTTTCCAGTGGTCACAAAATGTTCTATTTTCCCTCTTCTCATATTAGGGCTGTACCGAATAGTGATTTTCACTATTCAGCCGAATACGAATAGCGGGACCAACTATTCGCCCGAATACGAATAGTGTATCATCATCGTTAGTTGTCTTGCCAGCTGGCGTGGGCGATTGTGCCTCTCCATAATCTGCAATCTACTGTAGCACGTATTAGTTCGTGTGCTGACACACCTCATTGCCATGCAACAAGACTGTCAAGAATCTTCTCTCGTTGTCTTCCTCTATCCCTCTTTCCACAGATCTTTCCAGTGGTCACCACATGTTTCATTTTTCCTCTTCTCATAACATGGCCGAAGAATGATGACTGTCTCCTTCTGATGTTTGTGATAAGTTATCTTCGGGCTCCCGCCTCTTTCAAAACCTTTTGGTTGCTCTTTTTGGGCTGTCCAAGGTATTTTCAGCATTGTTCTGTAAAACCACATCTCTGAGGCCTCAAGAAATTGTTTAGTGTGCCTACCAATTGTCCAGGATTCACATCCATATGTTAAAACTGGATGGATGTAGCAAGCAAGAATTCTTTTTCTAACCTTCAATGACAAAGATATATTGCATAAGATGTTCTTCATTTTATAAAATGCAGTTTTTGCCTGTCCTATTCTGTTTCTTATTTCAGTAATGCATCTTCCATCTGATGTTATCCATGTGCCCAGATACTTAAATTTCTGTACATGTCCCAAAACAACACAATTGACTTTTATTAAACATTTAGGAATAATTCTTCTCTTTGATACCACCATTACTTCTGTCTTCCCACTATTCAAACTGAGGCCCATTCTTCGACTTTCAAATAGTGAATAGTGTATAAAATAGATGTAAAAAAAACACAATCATAATGTCAAATGTACGCTGAAATTTTACTTCACAGAATGTAGTAAAGAATAGTAAACATAAACATTTTATGTTTTGCATCCTTCAGTCAGTCTGTGGTAACTAATACCTTGGAATGAAAGTATTCTTATTTTTATAACAAGTAACTAAACTTGTAAATTGTCACTGACAGCTTAGTTAATGCATGAAAACAGCACTAGCTTTCAACAAGACCAATCATTTCATGTTGTCAGCATCAAGGCAGCTTCTCGTCTCACTGAAGGTATTTCCAGCTGTACTAAACAGACGTTCACTTGGTACGCTAGGGTGCACAAAGATAACGCTTGACAGTATAAACCAGGGTGGGAAATCTTGGGATACACAGCTCTGACAGATAGTTATTCACTTCTGTTTCAATGGTAACTCGAATGTCGCTATTCTGTACCTTCTGTACCTATTGTGTTAATGAGAGAGTTATTTCAGTCCATTGCAGTGTATGCAGAAATGGGTGCAAGGTAACCACTATTCGTATTCGGCCCGACCTCAACTATTCGGCCGAATACTGAATAGTTTTTAGATCCACTATTCGGCCCCGAAGCGAATACGAAGCGAATATTCTGTACAACCCTGATATATATATATATATATATATATATATATATATATATATATATATATATATATATATATATATATATATATATATATATATATATATATATATATATATATATATATATATATATATATAGATATAGATATATATATATATATATATATATATAGATATATATATATATATATATATATATATATATATATATATATATATATATATATATATATATATAGATATATATATATAAACAAATAAAAATCCTGTATAATTTTTCCTTTAGAATTCTCACAATTATCATTATAAAATTAAGAACCTCTTACAGTTCTTTCCTAAAATGTATTTTGAGTAAAAAAAAAAAAAACAACAACAGGCATCTCTTCCATTAGAATTTTTAACAGATAGCAATCTTAACCTTTTACATGTTTCATCTTAGAATTCTTGTCATTCCAATTTTGAAACAACTTTTCACATTTACATTAGAATTTTTACCTAGTTTCAATCTTAAAATCAATACTCTAGTACCACTCTTCTTATAGAATTTTTTGCTCTTATAATAAAACAATTAACAAATATTTACAATTTTGCCCCAAGAATTCAAGCCAATCAAGTTTTAACTCTTTCAAACCCAGAAGATGATGGGTGATGCCTGACTGAAGCAATAATGATGACAACAAAAGTACTGATATACTAAACTCATGGGGTCCACATACACAGCACATTGTGGGTCATTTGTGTTGCTGGATTGATTTAGTTTGCCTGACTGCACTTTAAAAAAAGGTAAAAGTAAAGGACCCTTTTCCAAGCCTTTAGGCATGTTGGGCATATAGGGCTAGACCTATTTTGTACAGACTTATCAGCACTGAGTGGGTGATATCCTCAACATCATATCAGCCACCTTTACTTCCCAGGATTTTACCTGATACCAATGCAGGACTAGGTCGACCTGGGAGCCGGTCATTTGTTTTAAAGAAAAGTATGGCTGTGTCTGAATACATTTAAGATGTACAAAAATACAAAATTGTTGACTAGTGTACCTGAGTAATATCCAGTACACATAGTACATTGGTGGGAGAAAAAGGAAGAAGGGGGGGGGGGGGGGTTGGGTTGGGTGGGGGGAGTAGTTTGAAATAGTTAAAAACAACAACAATTGTTAAATCTATTCCACCTAGAATTCTTGCCGAGTTCCAGTCTCGAAAAGCCCACAGGGTACATGTGAGAGACAAGGATCTGCTCAAGTACCTGGCCGTGATGCTGACCGTGGTTGTGGCCTATATGTCAGCCTGGACCGCGGTCAACATTGACCACTTAGACAACAACAGCACAATCTTAGAGCGGCTCCACACACCAGAGAGTGGACTCAGCTACACACTGTGTCGTTCAATGTGGTGGGATTATGTCATTGAAACAGGTGAGTGTCGTTGCGTGATTCACTTTGTCTGAATGTGTGATTCACTTTGTCTGAATGTGTGATTCACTTTGTCTGAATGTGTGATTCACTTTGTCTGAATGTGTGATTCACTTTGTCTGAATGTGTGATTCACTTTGTCTGAATGTGTGATTCACTTTGTCTGAATGTGTGATTCACTTTGTCTGAATGTGTGATTCACTTTGTCTGAATGTGTGATTCACTTTGTCTGAATGTGTGATTCACTTTGTCTGAATGTGTGATTCACTTTGTCTGAATGTGTGATTCACTTTGTCTGAATGCGTGATTCACTTTATGACCATGGATTGTTCATTTTATGGATGTGAAAAATTCACTTTATAATAACATAGTTCTTGACCCACCAGGGTCATGGAGATGTATCAGTGGAAGCATTAGCGCACAAAACCCTCCATCTTTCTCTGTTTTCCACTTGTCAAACAAATGTGTAATAATTTGTAATAATAATGGTATTAATTTTATTCTTTATGTGTGTGGATGATTTACTTTATGACTCTTAATGATTCACTTTATAACTCAAGATGATTCACTTTAGGACCTTGGATGGTCCATTTTATGTGTGTGGATCATTCATTCACTATACAGGTATGAATAAATAAATAAATGATATGCCGTCTCCACACTGAGGGCTGTCTATATTGTAGCCACTGCTGTCTTTGGGAATATTACATGGAGAGACCTTCGTGTTTCACACTGTGCAACTCCAACACTTACTTTGCTTCTTTGCTACCTAGTCACTCCTCTTCTACCTTGGGGTGTGGAGGTTTGCCAGAGAGATCATCAGATTTCTATATCAGCACTTTTCTTTTTTGGCTTTTTTCCAATTCTTCTCCTCTCTTAGTCAGGTTGTCTTTCCAGTGAACCCAGGGTGGCCCTGGTGGTCTCATTCCCTGGTTCTTGGCCTCCCATGTCAGCCATGGTGTTCGATTCTCTCCCAATCTGCATACATATCCAGATTATAGTAACTGTGACTGATCCACTTGAGTTTATAAGGTCTATATTTCAAGATCTTGATGTATTGTCTGGTTGTAAACTTTGTACCTTCTTGTCACTTGGTCAGCTTTCTCAGATATCTCATTTCTGAGGCCTGCAGCTGGCTTCTGTGAGCTGTTGTCATTGCCCATAACTTTAATACTATTGTGAGAAAACAATGCTAGCAGGCTTTAAAAAAAAAACCTACGGAAATCAAACTTGTACTCAGTAAGCAGAAAATTGATAAGCGCCTTCACTAACCTCTTAGCCACACATTTGCATACATCTGTGAATAATTAAATTTGTCACTAAAGATCATGGCTGATAAACTGGCAGCCTGCGGTTGAAATTGCGCCCACGGAGGCCCATAAAAGCGACCTGCAGATCAATGCAGGTTGTCATTTCAGTTAACATCGTGGCACACAGGGTGAAACCCAAAAGTTTTAAACTCTAAATTTTGCCCGGGCAGCGCTGTTAGGCTACGTTTGCTAGTTGTATTGATAATCTGACTGTGCTTGGACTCGTATTTCTGGCCTGTGACATTCCTGTTTAACAAATTGTGGCCCCTAAGTAAACTTAGTTGAATAGCTCTGCCATAAGTGGTTTACTTTATGACCATGGATGATTCACTTTATCATCATACATAGTTTGCTTTATGACTATGGATAGTTAACTTTATGTGCATGGATTTTTATTTTATTACTGTGGATGATTCACTTTCATCATCATCCTGTGCCCTGCCAACTAGCGTAGGCGCTCATGCGTCTCCACTGATCACGATCATGATCCCTGGTTGACTGGAACAGCTCTCTTGATGATATCCCTCCATGTAATCGTTTCAGCCCATCCAGCATCATCCCTCTTGGTCTGCCTTTACCCCTTTGTCCACTGATTTTTCCAGTTGTCACAATGTACTCCAATGTCTCTCTTCTTATTATGTTTCCAAAGCAATCATTGTCAGTTGCTCTGTTAGTTACATTCGTCTCAGAATCCACATCTCTGTTGCTTCCAAATTCTTCTGAATTTGTTCACTGACATTCCAAGATTCGCTGCCTGCCGTACAGCAGAACAGGTTCTATATAACATTTAAGCACCCTCTTTAGTTTCACTTTATGTCTGTGAATTATTCACTCTGATAAAGCATAATATGACAATATTCTTTTGTATATTCAACAGGGGAGTTCATATTTTTATGCTTTGGCATCTACATATGCTACTGTGTCAGGTCTGCCCAGACAGAATTCTTGGAGGGCCGGTACATAACCGGCGCCATCATTTATGAAGCTATTGTGTCCACAGTGTTTTATGTTCTTAGGTAGGCAGTTGATTTATATGTGAATTGAGTGTTAAATTACATAAGCAACTAATGTGTGCGTGTCTGTAGTGTTAAATGACACAGGCAGCTAATGCTTGTGCCTATGTGGTGTTATATTACATAGGAAACTGATGTATGTGTGTGTGTGGTGTTAAATTACATAGGAAGCCTATGTTTATATGTGTATGTAGTGTTCAGTGACATAGGCAGCTAATTTTTAAATATATATATATATATGTGTGTGATGTTAAATTACACAGGCAGCTTATATATGTTTAGTGTTAAAAAGAAAAAGGTACACAGTTATAATATCTATGTACATTGTTAAATTATATATATATATATATATATATATATATATATATTCAAAAGCGCATGTTCAGATAGAAGCAGGGTATAACAGAAACCTGGGTACAAGATTTGACAGATGCCTAGCATTTTAAAAACACGACCACATTATAACCAAAGCCAACAAAGGTCTCTCCGCAAAAAAAAGTTATGGGAGCTGCAAACTTTGAGCAACGGCTACTTGTAATTTTGTAGCGTGCATTAGTTCTCTCCAACATTGAATATGCCTTGGCCATCATGACACTCAGCACCACACAGATGAACAGACTGGAAACATTTTTAAACAAGGCAGTGCAAATTGTTCTTGGATGCACTAGAGACACGTCCTGTAAATCCATGCGATACCTCTTGGATTTCCCCACAATGGAAAACAGAATCAAGCTATTCATGGCTGTTGCTTTTCTCAAAGTGAAATCAGACCATCGACACCCACTTGATGAGGAATTATTCAAGCCAAAAAAGAGTAGACTGAAACTAGGCAAATCCTGGATGGGTGGGGCTGAGGATGCCATCGAACATGTTTGCCGCCTTACTGACATTAATTTTGGAAATGAATGGATAATTATGCCTCGCTCTCATGATATTAATATTACAGTCCATATCACACTTGATGGAAGCTGTAGAGAGCAGATTCCTGGCATTGTTGACACTTTAGTCAGAACACTGATTGACGAAAACACAGATGAAGGTGATGCTGTAGTTTACACAGATGGGTCAGTAATTAGGGGCAAGCAAAGTGCATGGGCCTTCACAGTAAGCTCAAGGGGAAAACCAAAGGAGATGAATGGCACCTTTGCTGTTACAACTAGTAGCCTTACAATGAAAACTATGGCTGTAACAAGGGCTTTAGCATGGCTTGGTACTCAAAAGTTCACAAACGTATGCATTCTTAGTGACTATGCTTAAAAAAATCCAAGCTGGATTTATCAGGCAAGAATGGATTGAAATACTAAGCACTTTATGAATATCTGCCCTAACCTTCATCTTTGTGCCAGGTCATGCGGGTGTTCAAGGGAAGGAGCATGCAGACTATCTTGCTGACACTGCAATTGCTATGGCTGGATCAGTACTGGACATAAGTGATGTTATCAATGCCATGCGCTGCACTTCCCGTAAACAGGAGCACGCCAAATGACATGACTTCATATCCCTGTTTAGATTGTTTGACATGGGGGTGCGGGGTGCAGCATGGAGCTGCAAGAAATGAACATTTCACTAAGAGGACAAGACATTTCATTAACCATCACAGAACAGGCGTCATCAGTCGTTTTACACTCGTGGAGCTTTTGAGGAGGAGATCGGAGCACCTATGGATCTGTCCAAAGTGCTGTAATGATAATCCTTTCTAATCACTAATCACTAATCACAGAAACAGAGTTAAATATGTGTGCGTGATGTTCAGTTATATGTATTGTCAAAGGTATGTACCTAGTGTGTGTGCGTGTGTGTGGTGTTAATGTTTTTGACCAGTCAATTTGAAAAGTTAATTATATGTATAATGTTGAATTACCTATATTGTCAAAAGTACACAGTTAACATATGTGCATATAGTGTCCTGGAGGGCTGCCTGGTCTTGAGGCTTGGCGTCCGCCTTGAGTGCTGGAGTTCAGGAGGGAGTCGCTGTGGCCGAGCGGCTAGACGCTCGCCGCCGATCGGAAGGTCGTGGGTTCGCTCTCTTGCGGAGCCGGACTATTTTCAAAAATGACCTTGGCTCCTAGGTCCATCCAGCCTTGAGTGGGTACCGGGTACAGTCCCGGTAAGAAAAGTCGGCCGGCGTGTTGCTGACCACATCACCCATCTTGTGCCGATTGGTCTATAAAAATATAGGTCTGGCGCTTTGTGCCCTATACGCCTAAAGGCAGGGAAAACTGTCCTTTACTTTACTATAAAGTGTCCTTCTCGTAGGAAAAGTAAAGGGTCTTGTCTCTCTGCTGGCCTATAGGATACCCTTGGACAAGGGAGAGAAGCCATTCTGTCATTTAGTCAGGTGATGGATTAAGCTTGAGAGCAGCTGACAGATAGTTGTTGGTCATGGTCTCAAGTTCCTCCGCAGCACAGGATCACACTAAAGGGATAATGACTACGATCATCAGACAAGTATAATCTCTGCCAAGAAGGAGGGCAATGAGAAACTACCTTCTTCAATGCCCAGAAGAGTCCTGATTTCAAAACCTAACAAATCTTTAATGGCATCAGTGGATGCTCCATAGGAGCAGTCTTGCTCGGGAGGGTGAATCCTGTGACCACGTGACTCCACATAATATCACATAATGATAGCAAAACAAGTGAGTCTGTCATCTTAAAGACTGTTTAAAAAAGTCAGTCGTAGACAGTCAGGCTTTTTCAGACTCGTTTGTAGGAAGAATGGCCTTGAGAATTTTGCAAGATTGATAGAAAGAGAGCAAAGGAAAGGCAGTCAGATAAATATTTGGGGCCTAGTCATACAGATGGGGTTAGACAAGCAGATTGGCTTGCTTTTTTCCATCCAACTTTTCAGTCGTTACCAAGTTTTCAAAAGTATTTCTTCACATAACATGTCAGAAAAACACTGTTAGTAGATTGCACAATGTGATAAAGTTGAATTGTTGAATTGACTGAAAGCCAGTGAAAAATCTTTAGTGGAGGACAGCCTAGCATATGATACCACAACATCTAGCATGAGAATGGAGGTGGAGGCGGTCACTGCAGCTCTTCGATGGCTGGAGAACAAGATGTACCACACATGTCATAATTGTAACGGACTCTGAAATCATGCTGACAAAAGTGGAAACGGGGTTGCTTCGAGCAGAGTGGCAAGCTTCACTGGGAAGATCATGGGTAGTGAGCATACTTTAGTTCTTTTCTCCAGGTAACCCTGCTGTGGTTGGGAATAAACAGGCAGACAGATTGGCTTAATCTGCACTTTTGGATGGTGAACTGATACATGACAAGGCAGATGTGGTCAATGCCCTTTGGAATTAGGTAACAAAGTCATAAGAGAAACTAGATTATTATGGCCTGGAGAGAATTACGCACCCGAGTGTAACCAGAGGATCTGGCCAGCTTACTACACTCAGAGGAAAGGTAAGACGGACATATAACCAGACTACCACTAGTACCATTAGTATTGGAACTCTGCGCTGGCTGCTGAAGATGGGGACGGAGTGCATATGGGAATGCCCCAAGTGCTGTGATGTCAATTCTTGATTCAACTCAATTCAACTCAACTTGACTTGAGAAACATTTGTAACAATTAGTTGTTGAATTGACTGTGAGGAACATTTGTGACAGTTAATTGTTGAATTGATTGTAAGAAACATTTGCAACAATTAGTTGTTGAATTGACGGTGAGGAACATTTACGACAGTTAGTTGTTGAATTGATTGTAAGAAACATTTGTAACAGTTGGTTGTTGAATTGAGTGTAAGAAACATTTGTAACAATTGCCTGTTGAACTGACTGTATTAAAATATTGTCCTCCGCAGGCATTTATGGTGGTACAAGTTGCATCCTGACTACTTGTTCCTTATGTTTTTTCTGAGATGCCAACTTACAGTCACAGTAGTCTTACTTATCATCCTGGGACCCAAGGTATGTGTGTGTAGGTGCTGTATATGTGTGACTTCAATACGATGATATCAAAAAAAGGTTACTGCAGTCCAGCTGATTATCAAGAAGCTTGTTTGAGATCCAACATCACAGAACTCTGGGACATTTCTGTAAGTGCTCCGTAACCATCTTCAGAGGCCAGCACAGAATTCAACTTCTGATGGTACCTCTAACAGTTTCATTTTAAATCCATCTTACCTTTCCACTGAGTGTAGATTTGGTCCAGATCCCTTAGTTACTCCTAGCTCTACCATTCTCTCACAACTGTAATGATCTGTGCTTGCTTCTGCATTGTTCACCTGCTCCAAAATGACCTGGACACATTTAGATTGTTCTGCATCAATTCACCGTCCACTGGTGCAGAAGCAGCCATTCTATTTGCCTGTTCATTTTCTGCCTCAACTTCCATTCTCAGACTAGACGTATCATATGCTAGGCTTGGTTGAACAAAACATGATCCATTCACCTTTCCACCGAAAAACATCCTGCACTTTATTAGTCTCTGTACACAGAGTCATCAGTATATATAAACACATCATTTTTTTCAAATTTATCATGAATTAATTGTTGAGTTTCAAATTCAGTAGTGTCTGCGGGCCAGTACCCTCATTTACAGGCCAGTGTGATTAAAATCCTTCACAAATGTGATTTTTTTTGCTCTTCTACCAGAAGTAAATAAAGACACAACATATCTGCTTTGGAAGCTCAGTGAAGGGAAGGAAACAAGGCACACAAGAACGACTGAACATTTAGAACAAATGGTCTTTGTGTGGGTTCGTGGGTCCCATTTAACAAGAGTGCTGTAACAATTGACTAAATAGGAGTTTTTTCTATGAAATCAGAGAGCATCTGCCTTAGAGACAAAGAACCAGCAGTCTGCATACAAACAAACAAGATCTGTATATTGATGTGCCAGCAAAAGTTCTGTAACAAGACCAAAGTCCAGTAGTGGATGAACAACCAGAACTTTCTACAGGAGTTTACAGCCGGTCAGCGTCAAAAAGAAGAACAGAAAGAGTAAACCAGTATAACCTTACACTACAAAACCCCATTTAGCTGGGGAAATCTCTTTCGTTTGGTTAAGGGAATGGAATAGAAGTGTGAAAAACATAAAGAGATTTTAAGAAATGAAACGTGAGTGAAAAATTTGAAAAACAAATGATAAATAAATATATAGATAAATAAATAATAATAAAAAACATTTTTGATTATATTACATGAAGGAATGCTTAACATTGATTCTTGCTGGGTTGAAAATGCCTGAACTATGAATGAGAAGAATTATAAGGAGAGGCGAATGATGTGATCATTTTAGCAAGATTTAATGGCAGTGATAGAAAGTCACTTTTACCTCAGTGGTAAAAGCTATTAAAATAGAGAGACACTGTTCTGACTGCCTTAACAAATATTCAGCTTCAAGATAAAGGACTCTTAGTGAAATCTGAATATCACTATTGAGAATTTTAAAGGGAAATCTTAATATCACCATTGAGAAACTTATAGTGCAATCTTGACATCATGTTTGAGAAATTTATAGTATCATCGTAACATTACCATTGAATAATTTATACTATAAACTTAACATCACCCTTGAGACATTCTTAGCACAATCTTAATGTAACCATTGAGAAACTCATAAAGTTTTAACATCACCATTGACTGATGCATAGTACAGTCTTAACATACCACTGTAAATCCATAGAACAGTCTGTGCTGGCTGCATGGTACTGAACTGAAGAGATGGTTTGCTCATGCGATTTCCTGTATCTCATTGTACAGATATGGTATGCTCACCGACCTCCAGACGATGACCATGCTCGGACTAGAGCCTATTCTCAGTCAGACGTGCAGGACAGCTCATCTCCAGAGACCATGAAACTCAACGTGGGTATTTCTTCGAATGGAGATGTTGAGGTAGGGGAGATCAGTCTCACTGAAATGGATCCAGAAGACATTAGGGTGAGAACTGACTCATTATTTAGAATTTATGTCACAGGCAAAGTTCATTGCCAAAGATCTCCCAAAATCTCTGCACTACGACACTGTATTATAGTCTGCCATTCTCTTTAAACTTTAGCTTTGAAGATTATTTCCTGCAGCAAGGTTTTCTTGGCTGACACCCAGTTCATACACCTAGGCAGTCAGTCAGCCGTTTAGCCAGGTTTTCAGTGCTATCCATCAGGTCTTTAGTGAGGTTTTCAGAACTGCACAGTCATGTCTTTGATTTGGTTTGCTATGCTTACAATCAGGTGTTTCGCTAAATTTTCTAGGGTTTTCAGAAATGTTAGCTAGTTTAATGGCTGCCAGCCAAGTCTTTTATTAAGTTTGTTTGGCTGCCATTATGGCTTTGATAGGTTTGTATGTCTGCCATTTAGGCTCTGGTAGTTTTGTGCGTCTACCAATTAGGCTTTGGTAGGTTTGTATATCCACCATTAAGGCTCTGATAGGTTTGTATGTCTGCCATTTAGGCTCTGATAGGTTTGTATGGTTACCAGTTAGATCTTACTAGATTTCCTTTCTGGTTTTTATCACCCTGATCTGCTGCTGAAGGTTCACACCCAGGATAAATTGCAGTGCTTGATACATCAATATCGTTGCCTTTACTTCCTGTAGTCAGCATCTGTGGCTTAAAAATTATGATTGCAGTTTCATAATTCTGAGATACTGAATTAAATTCAACTGCAGTTGATTTGGCAGCAGACCACTTTGTATTGATTTTTTAAGTGGTTTGAGTGATAAACTGTTGAGAAAACAAAGGCAAACTATTGACTGTAAAATTGCCTTGTAATACCACAAACAGATAACAAATGCTGGAGTTGCTTTGTGGATTTCTGTAAAGCAGTGGTTTTCAGCTTTTGTTTTGTGTGTGTGTGTATGTGTGTGAATATGTGTGTGTGTATGTGTGTATGTATGTGTGTGTATGCGAGTGTATGTGTGTGTATATATGTGTGTGCAGGTGGCACCCCCTTGAATATTTAGCAAGGACCCCACCCTATTCCCTACCCTGACTTAAACAAAAGTGCAATGAAAAAGACGAGGACAGAAAAAAAAAAAATCCCAAAGCACCGTTAAGAAGAACTCACATAAATCAGATTGCCAACTAACATAACGTCCTTGGCTTTTTTACTGATAAATATATAATTTAAAAAAAAAAAAATGGTTTTATTTACAATTAAACTGAAAAGAATATTATTATAACAGATTATTGCAAGTATAAATGTAGTTAATTTGCTTGATGCTTCCTTCGAAATGTCCTTAGCCTTTCCCCCTCCCCCCTCACTTTATATATTTTTTTTATCAAACTTTGCTGCAAATGAAATGCAGCTATCTTTATTTCCATCAGTCACACTTATGAGTTGGCGATTGATTGCTTTATCAAAAGCCATATTCACAGTACTTGACATTTCAGTGTACTGCACTAGTGTCATTTAAATCATTCTTCAAGGCTGTTAGCACAAGGGCTGTACCGAATAGTGATTTTCACTATTCGGCCGAATACGAATATAAACAGTCATCATCATCATCATAAACCACTTCTGCCGTTAAGCGCCGGGGGGAGGAATAATTTTTGATCCTTTGCATGTTGGCTGCCACTGGTTATTGTCATGCCGTGAAGGCGTAGAGTGTCTTTAATGTTGTCAATCCATATTTTCCGCGGCCGTCCTCTTGCTCTTGAAGTTGATCTTCTGAGATGTAGTGCCTGTGATGGTATTTGATCTTGCGGCATTCTAACAAGATGGCCAAACCACTTAATCTGCTATTTCTCGATGAATCTAGTACAAGGTGTTGTTCCCACAGTTTGCCTGATAGTTTCATTATTCACTCGATCTCGGATGGTTAGGTTGGTTGCTTGTTTCAGGCACCTTATCTCGCAGGTGGTGATTTTGCGTATATGGGCTTTAGATAGTGTCCATGTTTGGCACTGGTAGCTTAATGTTGGAATGAGTATGCTATTAATAATCTGTACGAATAGTGTATAATGTATAAAATATATCTTTAAAAAAAAAAAACATTTATTATGTCAAATGTACACTGAACGTTTACTTCACATAAAGTAGCACAGAATAGTCATCTTCTTCTTTAGCATTCCGAGCCCTTGAGATTTACTGCTGCAGATATCACTCGTCTCTATTCATCACTCTGGCTGGCCTTATCTTCACAATTTGTGACACCAGTTGTTTGCAGGTCTGGCTAGACATTATCTCTCGAACTTCTTTTTTGTCTGCCTCGTGGTCTACGCCCATTTCTCTCTCAGGTGTATACAGTTTTTACTTCTCTGTCATCTGACATGCTTTTAATATGCCCCAACCATTTTAGTCTGTTAGCTCTCATGATGCCAGTGATCAATGGTGATTTAAACAGATTATGTGTTACGTTGTTGCTTCTCACTCTCCATTCCCCGCTGTTAGTATCTTTGATGGGTCCAAAGATTTGTCGTAAGACTGTTTTCGAAAACCTATAATAAGGTCATGTCTTTTATTTCTGCTTCAAGTTTCAGTCATATAAAACGATTGGTCTTATCAATGTTTTATATATTTTGATCTTTGTCTTGCGAGACAGACACTTTCGCAGATGTTGAAGGGCATAGTATACTTTATTTCTAGATTGCATTCTAGATTGTTTTTTTTCTCTTAGTATGTTGGAGAATTGAAGTTTGCACCCAAGTACTCATATGTTTCCATTCGTTTGATTTTTATATTATCAACTTGGATGTGGCCGGAGTTTATATTCATTCCATGTTTAGTTAGTATTCGTACAGAATAGTAAACATTTAAAAACATTTTATGTTTTGCATCCGTCAGTCAGTCTGTGGTAACTAGTTAGTTAGTTAGTTGGGTTATCATCATTGCACTCCGGACATGTCCATAGGTGCTCAGATCCTCCCCTCAGTATGAACCCCAACATCTGATGGCTAATAGTACCAGTTCTATGTTGATTAACAAGTCTTCTGGCATGTCTGGTGTGCGTCTCGTTTTTTGCTGTGCCGATCTTAATTCCCAAGTCTGCCATTCTGGCGAGTGATGTGGATTCACTGCCACCAAAGTCCTCTATCCTTCCCATTTCTCTGAGGGCATTGATAATATCAGCATGATCCATAGGCTGACCGTCGGTAGTGATAGCGGATCCAGCCAACCTGTCAGCTCTTTCATTTCCATCGACGCCTGCGTATCCCGGAACAAAAATAAAGGTGACTCCATGCACAGTGGACTTCTGTAATGATTCAAGCCATTGTTTTCGCACTGAACCTGCCTGAACCCTCTGGATCATACTAATTGAATCACTGAGTATACATACGCGGGTGTATTTTTGTGTTTTAAGCCACGCAAACGCTTGCGTCACTGCCATCACCTCCATCATCATGCTGCTGGTTGTCATGGAGAAGGCGCCGTTGGCTTCTTTGACTGTTCTGCCCGCTGAGCGTGCTGTAAATGCACATGCGCTTCTTCTTTGGTCTATAACGGATCCGTCTGTATAGATTAGTGCATCTACATCGCCTGTTGAGTGTGACAATACAGGGAAATGTTCTGTGGTAACTAATAACTAGGAATGAAATAATCCTAAGTTTTATAACAAGTAACTAAACTTGGAAATTGTCACTGACAGCTTAGTTAATGCATGAAAGCTGCATTAGCTTTCAATAAAACCAATCGTTCCATGTTGTCAGCGTTAAGGCCGTGTATGCAGAAGCGGGTGTAAGGTAACTACTATTCGTATTCGGCCCGACTGCAACTATTTGGCCGAATACCGAATAGTCAATAGGTCCACTGTTCGGCCCCAAAGCGAATACGAAGCGAATATTTGGTGCAGCCCTAGTTAGCACCAACTCTGTAACATTGATGACACCCAGTGTGTGTAATATACAAGTTGAACATATTCTCTTGTAGGTAAGGTTTTTCGTAACTTAAAAATATTATGAAAGTAGAGGAGTGGCTGGCCGAGTGATAAAGAATACTGGACTCTCATTTGAAAGACCTGGTTGGAATCCTTGGTAAGGTAATGGATTTTTTTCTGTCAGGGGCAAATAGTAAACTAAACAGCATTAAAAGTCTATACAATCTATAGTTAAGCACCAGCAATGAAATCAATGTTGAAATTTTTGACAGCATGCATTTTCCATGTAGCAACATAGAGATGTGAGTTGTGGACTGTCTCCCAGTACTTTTGAAAAGTAATGGGGACGTTTGAGCTGAAATGCTCTAGACAGGTTCTCAGAATAACATGGACAAAGAAAAAAAAATACTGACAGTCTTAAAGGTCTGAACATCAAGGAAAAAGGGATAATAAACAACATTTTGTCTCAGAGGCTGAAAAATTTTGGCCATATCAAGAGCTACAGCGGAGTGGAAAAATTTGCAGAATGCATGGTACCAGGAAGGAGGAGGAGGATATAAGCGACTCGGTGGGGATGAACGTGCATGAGGCGGGAGAGCTGGCAAGAGACTGAGTTGATTTGAGGTAGATCATGTTGAGATTGGTGGTCTGCAAGAGAAACATATTTGTATATCATTGCCCAAAAGATTGTGGTCTGCAACAGGAACATATTTGTACGTCATTGCCCAAAAGATTGTGGTCTGCAACTGGAACATATTTGTACGTCATTGCCCAAAAAATTGTGGTCTGCAACAGAAACAGATTTGTACATCATTGCCCAAAAGATTGTGGTCTGCAAAACAGAAACATATTTGTACATCACTGCCCAAAAGATTATGGTCTGCAACAGAAACAGATTTGTACGTCATTGCCCAAAAGATTGTGGTCTGCAAAACAGAAACATATTTGTACATCATTGCCCAAAAGATTTGTGGTTTGTAAAACAGAAACATATTTGTACATCATTGCCCAAAAGATTTGTGGTCTGCTAAACAGAAACATATTTGTACATCATTGCCCAAAAAATTTGTGGTCTGCAAAACAGAAACATATTTGTACACCATTGCCCAAAAGATTGTTTTCTGCAACAGGAACATATTTGTACGTCATTGCCCAAAAGATTGTGGTCTGCAACAGGAACATATTTGTACATCATTGCCCACAAGATTGTGGTCTGCAACAGGAACATATTTGTACACCATTGCTGAAAAGATTAGTGGTCTGCAAAACATAAACATATTTGTACGTCATTGCCCAAAAGATTGTGGTCTGCAACAGGAAATTTGTTCACCATTCCCCAAAAGATTGTGGTCTGCAACAGGAGCATATTTGTACACCATTGCCCAAAAGATTGTGGTCTGCAACAGGAACATATTTGTACACCATTGCCCAAAAGATAGGTGGTCTGCAAAACAGAAACATATTTGTACACCATTTCCCAAAAGATAGGTGGTCTGCAAAACAAAAACATATTTGTACATCATTGCCCAAAAGATTGTGGTCTGCAAAACAGAAACATATTTGTACACCATTGCCCAAAAGATAGGTGGTCTGCAAAACAGGAACATATTTGTAAGTCATTGCCCAAAAGATTATGGTCTGCAAGCAACAGAAACATATTTGTACGTCATTGCCCAAAAGATTGTGGTGTGCAACAGGAACATATTTGTATGTCATTGCCCAAAAGATTGTGGTCTGCAAGAGAAACATATTTGTACGTCATTTCCCAAAAGATTATTGTCTGCAACAGAAACATATTTGTACGTCATTGCCCAAAATATTGTGGTCTGCAACAGGAACATATTTGTATGTCATTGCCGAAAAGATTGTGGTCTGCAAGAGAAACATATTTGTACGTCATTGCCCAAAAGATTGTGATCTGCAAAACAGAAACATATTTGTATGTCATTGCCCAAAAGATTGTGGTCTGCAACTGGAACATATTTGTATGTCATTGCCCAAAAGATTGTGGTCTGCAAAACAGAAACATATTTGTACATCATTGCCCAAAAGATTTGTGGTTTGCAAAACAGAAACATATTTGTACATCATTGCCCAAAAGATTTGTGGTCTGCAAAACAGAAACATATTTGTACATCATTGCCCAAAAGATTTGTGGTCTGCAAAACAGAAACATATTTGTACACCATTGCCCAAAAGATTGTGGTCTGCAACAGGAACATATTTGTACGTCATTGCCCAAAAGATTGTGGTCTGCAACAGGAACATATTTGTACGTCATTGCCCACAAGATTGTGGTCTGCAACAGGAACATATTTGTACGTCATTGCCTAAAAGATTGTGGTCTGCAACAGGAACATATTTGTATGTCATTGCCCAAAAGATTGTGGTCTGCAAGAGAAACATTTATACGTCATTGCCCAAAAGATTGTGGTCTGCAACAGGAACATATTTGTACGTCATTGCCCAAAAGATTGTGGTCTGCAACAGGAACATATTTGTACACCATTGCCGAAAAGATTAGTGGTCTGCAAAACATAAACATATTTGTACGTCATTGCCCAAAAGATTGTGGTCTGCAACAGGAAATTTGTTCACCATTCCCCAAAAGATTGTGGTCTGCAACAGGAGCATATTTGTACATCATTGCCCAAAAGATTGTGGTCTGCAAAACAGAAACATATTTGTACACCATTGCCCAAAAGATAGGTGGTCTGCAAAACAGGAACATATTTGTAAGTCATTGCCCAAAAGATTATGGTCTGTAAGCAACAGAAACATATTTGAACGTCATTGCCCAAAAGATTGTGGTGTGCAACAGGAACATATTTCTATGTCATTGCCCAAAAGATTGTGGTCTGCAAGAGAAACATATTTGTACGTCATTTCCCAAAAGATTATTGTCTGCAACAGAAACATATTTGTACGTCATTGCCCAAAATGTTGTGGTCTGCAACAGGAACATATTTGTATGTCATTGCCGAAAAGATTGTGGTCTGCAAGAGAAACATATTTGTACGTCATTGCCCAAAAGATTGTGATCTGCAAAACAGAAACATATTTGTACGTCATTGCCCAAAAGATTGTGGTCTGCAACTGGAACATATTTGTATGTCATTGCCCAAAAGATTGTGGTCTGCAAAACAGAAACATATTTGTACATCATTGCCCAAAAGATTTGTGGTTTGCAAAACAGAAACATATTTGTACATCATTGCCCACAAGATTTGTGGTCTGCAAAACAGAAACATATTTGTACATCATTGCCCAAAAGATTTGTGGTCTGCAAAACAGAAACATATTTGTACACCATTGCCCAAAAGATTGTGGTCTGCAACAGGAACATATTTGTACGCCATTGCCCAAAAGATTGTGGTCTGCAACAGGAACATATTTGTACGTCATTGCCCACAAGATTGTGGTCTGCAACTGGAACATATTTGTACGTCATTGCCTAAAAGATTGTGGTCTGCAACAGGAACATATTTGTATGTCATTGCCCAAAAGATTGTGGTCTGAAAGAGAAACATATTTGTACGTCATTGCCCAAAAGATTGTGGTCTGCAACAGGAACATATTTGTACGTCATTGCCGAAAAGATTGTGGTCTGCAACAGGAAATTTGTTCACCATTGCCCAAAAGATTGTGGTCTGCAACAGGAACATATTTGTATACCATTGCCCAAAAGATTGTGGTCTGCAACAGGAACATATTTGTACACCATTGCCCAAAAGATTGTGATCTGCAACAGGAACATATTTGTACATCATTGCCCAAAAGATTGTAGTCTGCAACAGGAACATATTTGTACACCATTGCCCAAAAGATTGTGGTCTGCAACAGGAACATATTTGTACACCATTGCCCAAAAGATTGTGGTCTGCAACAGGAACATATTTGTACACCATTGCCCAAAAGATTGTGGTCTGCAACAGGAACATATTTGTACACCATTGCCCAAAAGATTGTAGTCTGCAACAGGAACATATTTGTACACCATTGCCCAAAAGATTGTGGTCTGCAACAGGAACATATTTGTACACCATTGCCCAAAAGATTGTGGTCTGCAACAGGAACATATTTGTACACCATTGCCCAAAAGATTGTGGTCTGCAACAGGAACATATTTGTACACCATTGCCCAAAAGATTGTGGTCTGCTACAGGAACATATTTGTAAGTCATTGCCCAAAAGATTGTGGTCTGCAACAGGAACATTTGTCCATCATTGCCCAAGATAGCTTGCGTCTCATCAACTGTGTAGACATGAGAAGTAAAATACCCTTGGAGCAATCTGTCTAGTTGAAATTTTCAATCTGTTTTTCCTCACCCTTTGGAGGTTGTTAGTTAGTTTTTATATTCAATATGCAGCCTAGGTCTCACCACTGAATGCAGCCTAGGTCCTACTCCCCAGCAAAAAAACAAAACAAGAAACCTCCCACAAAAACTGCACTATTGAAAACTGCACAGCACAAAACTGCACCTCAAATGAAATGCCAAATTACTAACCATATGCTCCATCTACCACCCCCTGAAATATTAGACTGTCCCATGACCTGTGTATTTACCATGTTTGGGGTGAATTATTATTTAACATTCTATAGTCCATCAGCATTCACTTATAAAAGTTCTTCATAATGTCTGCTATGTCCATAATTAGTTTTCCTACTGCTGTCACTTTGGAGCTGTGTTTTAAAAAATGAGATCTTTCCTCTTCCAACAGGCGGAACTCAAAAGGTTATACACGCAACTCCAAATATATAAAACAAAGACCATGAGGAAAGACAACCCGCACATCTCTAAACGTAGAGGGGGCAGAAAGCAAACTCATCGGCGCTTCTCCCTGCAGGCGTTCCATCACAAGCATCGCCATCACCATGACCACGAGCATGAGCATGAGATGTCGAAAACTCCAGAGGAGTCCACCAACTCAGCCGAGGGAATGACGTTCACTACAGAACCTAATGTCAAAGAGGATGCCAGCGAAGGAAGATCAGCCCCTTCCGTTAGTTTCAAGTCTGGTCACAAGTAACAGAACTTAGTTTTGTATGTACGGGAACATCTTCCTTTGTTTTGATGATGTACATGTGTAGAAAAATCAAGATCTGTGATGATTCTTCATTCATATCAGTGTGTGTTATAACTCATCAATGCTGGTAGCAAGATAACCCAACAGCCATGAAGTTTGCGCTTTTTGACCAATGTATCAATATGTAATGATGCTGGGATTACAGTTAGTTAGTCTTTCCTCTTGAGCCTAGTGTGGCGCATAAGGCAGAGGTCATTGCTGTCCATGTCTGGTGGTTCACTGCCACCTGTTTTAGGTTTTGGATGATTACAGTTGGGATTAAAAAAAAAAGAAGAAAATAACAACTCCCTCTGCCTTGGATGGCAGGATACATCAAGATCAGAGTTAGAATTAGGGCACCTGTAATGGCTACACGTCTGTAGTTCTTAAAGTAGATGTTCTTAAAGTAGATGTGACTTGTGCCTAATAACTTCTAAGAAGGTTAGCGGGAAATCTGGAATTTGTTCTGTTGAATTATCATCCAGAATACTACTCGAGTTAAGGTGTTACAGACCTTTGTGTGACAGGAAAAAAAAAAGGGGGGGGGGGGGGGGGGGGGAACCAGACAGTCATTTGTGATACATTCGCAACAAAGTATGTGTGTTAGACATTACTCTGTTGATTTTATTATAAAACTGGAAATATAGTTTTGCAAATAATTCATAAGCAGGTTCTCCATCATGAATTTTCCATGTCTTGTGTATGAGTTGTTCAGATTGATGCCCTGGTTTTAATATTGTTGATTGAGAGCAAGATGGTACACAGTTGTTGGGGTATCAACTCCTTACATCTAGAGGTATATGATATCGGCCTCTTGCATTTAAAATCAGAGAAAACCAGCTTATATATGATATGAACCTCTAGCATCTAGAGATATACAATATCAGCATCTTATATCTAAACATTTACAACATTAGTTACTTACATCTACAGAATTAAGGTGTCTGAAATAAAATGAGAAACCCGTTCATAAGAAAAAAACTGATACAGAACCACTTCTAAATTACATACAAATACAGCAGATCAAATGGTTTGCCCACTTAAAAAGAATGCCTTGTGACCATACAAGGCATACATCAAAAGAGGAGAAGAACTTAGAGCAAAAGGTAGACAAAAACAAGGTAAAAAAGATAATATCGGAGAAACTTTACAACAGCACCATATGTCTGTGGTCGAGGCAGCCAGAACAACAAAAAGCAAAACCTTATAACTTCCTCGACACATGAAGCGGTGAAAGAGGAAGTGAAGAAGAAGAGAATGGTACTGGTCACCTTATTTCGTAATATCTTGACCTAGATTGTTATGCCCTTATAGAATTGCCTTTCTAGGCTTTCTTTCATCTTGCAGGACTATAGGGTCGTGCCGCTAGGCAGGCGTCTCTGATAGCACTGCTAGTGACTAAACAACCTGATGCAGAAGTGACACTCCCTGCCACAGTTTTGGCATTAGTAAGATGATGCAAGTTCCACAGCAAGTGATTGCAGTTTATAATTGTGCCTCTTGTCCTCAGCTAGTTATATCAGATTATGCTCAAAAAGAACTTATCCTGTGTCACACATCTTTTCTGCAGGAATATTTGTCAGCTGCCACTCTATGCCGTGTTTCAGTATGTATGCCAAGGGTTTTCATTCCCTGTTTAAACAGCCTTAAATCGCATGTTGGGTCTTCCGGTTGACCTCTGTCCTGTGGACGGTTCTGCATAAAGGAGATCTTTAGGAATACGTTTTTGGGAGTTGCCTTTATTTGTGTTTTAACATATGATGGCCACAAAAAATAGCAGCATAGATAACATGAAATTAAAAGGCAGAATTGGCTTAGGTATTGAGGTGTCAGAAGTACATGTACAGTGTTCCTCTGAAGAAATGTGGACGAATGGTGAACCATCGTGATAAATAATTATGGCAAAAACTGTACATCCAGCTTATGTGCAGGATTATGAGATTTGATGGCTGGGTATAACTGTGTATTAACTCTTTCAGTAGGAGGGAACTCATTATGTTTCTTGAAACACTTTTCTTAACCCTATGTGCTTCATCCATCTGTTTCATGCTCTTTATCTTCTGGAAATATTCCTGCCATTTGGTTTTATTATTTAACCCCTTTAACTCTTTGAGTCTCAAGGGGTTTAAAATCAGAGGCCCAAAAGGTAGTTAAAAGAGATGTAAAATCGGTGCATCTTGCATTTATTGGGTCTCTAGGTAGGAACCTATGAACGTTTGATGCGTTCCTTGGGACTCAAAGAGTTAAAGCACACCTGACTGAGACTTAATTAAAGTAGGTGGCTCTTTTCGTGCCAGGAGTGGGTAAACTTTTTGTCTGGTCCACATGCCAAACTTAGAATTACCAACACCAACCTGGTCACAAATATTTGTAAGTTGAGGTTATCACGTTTTTTTGGGGTTGATATTTTGATTTTTTATTTCTGAATACGCACATATTTTGTTTTTGATTTTGGCGTTCTGCTATTTTATGAGCTTAAAGGTCACATTATGTAGTAATTTTGCATCAGCCTTGCTAGCCAATAAAAATTGCTGGGTTGGCCTATTTTGGCCTGTGGGTCCTGCACCTAGACTTATTTTTACCCACTAATTGGCACTCAATGGCTGGTGTGGTTAACATCAGGCCGGCCTCCTTTACTTCTCTGGACTACCAATTTTGGGTTGGGTGGCAAGGCAAGGACATTAAACTGTTTCCATCACAGAAGGTGATGCCTGGGTGAGTCAATTGCGAAGTCAACAAAATAATGGGTATACTACATCCACAGGGCCTAAATACACATTGCTTATGGGGGACCAGTGTTTTGTTGAGTGTTTTAGCAAGCTGCAACTAAACATAAAATGCACACCAATAATAATATGTTAATTGGTGCATATGAATAAATCCAGTCACACATGGTGCATTGTTTGGGACTCAAAGAGTTTAAATCTCATCCCCCTGCCCCCCCCCACCCCACTCTTACTGAATAGAACCGGTGGCTAGATCCCTGATGCAACCAGGATAAATCACTCAAGTGCGCGCACACACATACATGCGCACGCATGCACACACACACGCACACACACACTCAACTGCGTCCTCTGAGATGTAATTTTATTTTTTTGGGGATAAAATTCTTAAAATTCCTTGGATACCTTCGATGAGCTATCTAAACAAATTTAAAATAATATGCGAGGCAAAGGCAACATTTCACAAACATTAGAAAAGGTCAAACCTTATTCTTTGTTCACCTTATATAAAAAATTTAAAAAACCTGTTGTGATAGCTGAATGATTCTATGGGAAAAAGTATAAAGGACAGCAGTGATAGAAATTTCTTGAAGTTTTTTTTTTTTTTGTCATTGCACAGAAAGGCCCACAAATTGATACATGCTGTTGTTGATTGCAAGATCTGAAGAATCCTGATCTGTTAAACCAGTAGGCACAACAAATATGCTGATGAGATTAACACTGATAATTTCATATCTTCCTTTCCTATGTTGCTGAGATCTCATATGTCAGATCCTGTTGCTTACGCCATTTTTGTTTTTCTGTATGTCAATGATTTCATTGTATTTATCATAATTTCGGAAAATTTGTTTTGTTTTCTTGATTTCATCATAGTAGTAAATGTTAAGACAATCTTCTCTTTGTCATCAAATGTTTTATTATTTATCTGTCTGAAATCGTCTGATGTACAACATTTGAGCACAGCTATTTATTTGTGCAAATGATTATCATGTTCATACTTTTAGAACATAATTCTTTAACTTTGCTTTTAAAGAATTTCTCTGTATATGTGTGTGTTTCTAGAATTTGTCAACCAAAAGATAGTTTTACATATTGTCATGATTGTTTTCAGAACGTCAGAGATGTGACAGATGTTGAGATAGTCAGGATAGTGAGATTTTTGTGATGTTTTGATTGTGTTATGCACAAAGTAGATTGTTGTGATGTTTTGATTGTGTCATGCACAAAGTAATCAGAAACTATTAGTCTTTACCTGTTGTTTAAACATTAACCCTTTCAGTCCCTGCTTTAAAAATTATATCCATCTGGAGTAGCAAACAGAACGTAATAGCCTGAACTAATAAACATAATAGGATTGAGAAGATAAAGTTATTAGAAAGGATTACGTATAGATTTATTCAGCAACTGTGTTGAGCATAACAAGCTAGGGAAAGACACAAGTAGATGGAGTATCTTCCCATGTCGACCCTGTTGCCCATTTTGGGGGGAAAAGAATACGCCCGCTGCCCCCCCCCCCCCCACAAGTATGTCGTAAAAGGTGACTAGACAGCGGCTTGCTTCTTCTTCTTCTTATTAGCATTCACTAGCTATAAACTCTTGCAGAATGTCGTGGTGGTTCATCCACCTCTAAACTTTGGTCTTGTTCTGGAACTTGACTTTTTTGTATTTGTTTGTATCTAATAAATCTGGCTAATTTGTATGCAGACTGTTGGTTCCTCACCTCTCAGGCAGGTGCACTCTGAAGAGGGAAAAAAAAAAAGCCTTTTACAACATGCTTGTTGGGAAGGGGGGGTGGGGGGGGTGGGGAGAAGAAAGTTCTGGCCGTTCGTCCACTTCTGCATGCATAATGTTCATTCCTTACCTCTCAGGCAGACTTGGGAATTAAGATCGGCACAGCAAAAAACGAGACGCACACCAGCTACGCCAGAAGACTTGTTTATCAACATAGAACTGGTACTATTAGCCATCGGACGTTGGGGTTCATACTGAGCACCTATGGACATGTCCGGAGTGCAATGATGATAACCCAACTAACTAACTAACTAACTAACTAACTAACTAACTAACTATCAGGCAGATGTACTTTTGACTTCTGCTACCATCGATGAAGAACTGCATTTCCAATGTTGGACTGTTTGTGTTAGCACTTCGAATGGCTACCATATGCTTTTAATGCATGTGTATGCTAGTGCATATTCAGAGACAGCAGTCTGTCAATCTTTCCACAAGGGACTGTGA